CAGTGAGGTCCCGAGCTCCTCTGATGATCAAGGTGGCTGAGTTCCCATCAAGAAAGCCAACACAGCAAGCTTCTCCAGGAGACTGGCAGTGCACCATCTTCCCCACTGGAACCAGGAAGTGATGCTCAGAGTGAGGACCAGAGCTCCCCTAAAGTGAATTGAAGCTATTCTCAGTGCCAACGAGGTCCCCAGCTCCTTGGAGGATGAAAGCATCCAAGTTCATCAGGAAAGCCAGAATGATGAGCTCCTCCAAAAGAACCAACTTCTCTTTACAGCTTCTTCCAGCTTCCAACAGTTTTCTCTCAGCTCCCAACAGTCTCTCTCAGCTCCCAGCAGCCTCTCTCAGCTGGGGGTGATAAGTTGACATGGACCCAGTATTTTTATAGAGAAAAATGCATTAAAATGTAGGTATATATTATTGCATTGATTCAGATAAGGTTTGTTACATGTGCCAGCATAACTATTGTATTAATCAGCTTTCCCATTGCTGGACACATATTTTGTTGGGGGAGAGTACCAGGAATTGAACTCAAGACCTCATGCTTTCCAGGGAGGTGCTATGCCACTGAGTTAAATCCTTGGCCCATTATTCCTGGATATAATACTTGCACTCACAATTTATAGAAGGAATTTGGCACATGTTTTAAGAGGAATTCAATCCATGATCAGCTGACTCTAGGGCAGAAACAACACACAGGAAGACGGTGGTGCAGCAAATCTGCTTAGTTTATGATGGTTAGGAAGTACCGCAGGGGAGCAGTGCCAGAGAGGAAGGGGCAAGGGACCAGACAGAGACCCCAGGGCCATGTACCATGACTCACCTAGACACACTTTAGAAGTGTGTGCCCCCATTCCTCATGGTAGATCTCAGGGCCAACTAAGTTGATACTCTAGCCTTATCACAATTATAGAATTTTCTAAGTATCTATAATCATAAAACTACTCATAAATTTTTTACTACATAAAACTAAATAATAGCTCGTACATTTTGTAAAATAAAATCTGAGCAAGTAAGAATTCACAAGGTGGTAACTGGGGATGTAGCTCATTGGTAGAGTGCCTGCCTAGCATGCACGACACCTGGGTTCCAACCCCAGTACTGGAAAAAAAATTACAATGGAAAAATTAATCAAATTGAAATGACTCGTGTGCTATCTCTCTCATTTAATCGTGTACTTTTTCCCCTCAAACTTTCTGGAAAGATGCAAAAATCATTAATTTTGAAGGATTTATTCTGTACTACCAACGTAGTACACAGGTAACTATGGATATTCATTTTTTATATTTTTGAAAAAAGATTCTTACAAGGAGAATAAATGTAATATATAGCACACATCATTGAAAAAAGATGGATTAGGCCACTGGGAATAAACAGTTAAAACTGTCTGACAACATTTCTGTTCAGAAAATGTACATATGTCAAATAGGTAAGGAAGCTTTTGTGAATTAAGAATGGGAGGTACAGGCAGCGGGAGCACCCATTAGCCATGACAATAGGCACAACTGGCTGACTTTGAAGACAGACCAGTAACTCCCATTAACCACTAGGAACATATGGTTATATTAGTCACCTTGACTCTCAAAAATATTGAAATTACCATTCCCAGTATGAAGTACTGAGACATGTAGATGAAAATGGCTGTTATTCATCAATCAAGCCTTCACACCTCACTGAGAAGGCAAGTAGGAAAATGATGTGCAAATCATGGTATACTGTCAAACAGCAAATGATGGAACACTATATAAAGACAGAGTAATCAACAATGCAGAAGCCCCCTGCAGCAGAAGAGGGTATCCAGAGTGTGTACCATTTAATACATTAGAGGCCAGTGCATATCCTTTGAGAATAAAGCCAGGGTTGGCTCACTGTGAAACATTCAAAATGTGGTACCAAAAAAGGAAAGTGCTGCATTATACAGATACATGGAACTCTTCTTTTCCAAATATATTTCTCTAAGTGTCCAGTGCTAATTCTAAGTACATGAAGACTGACTTGATGTGCAGCTAAGCAGTATGTATACAATAGAGCAAGCCTCTTACTTAAAGGTAGCTAAGTAGAACAGAGACATGGAGGAAAACTTTCAAAGGCAAAGCTAAAATCATGAAATCTAAACATGCATGACTGCCTGCTTTCTAAAGACAATGAGAAAATGATCTCTCCATGCCCATCCTCAATTTAGTATTCCAAGATACTAAATGGCTAGCATTAACCAAAGCTTTCATATTTTCTTATGTTTGCACAACCAGATGTTAGTGTGTTGCAGCCACTTGTCTGGCTAGCACTGGCTCAGGGAAGCAGATTGTGTTCATCCTTCCCCATGTTTTTATTCAGTAAAATCACATTACATTGTGAAACTGATGATGGAGAAAGTATTTCTATCACTTCTTAGTAAACACTATAAATCTCCCCATCTCCAAAACTCCACCATGAACAGATTAGTAAATATCAAACACCACTGCACCACCATACTGACTACTCACTGTGCAATGGATCACACAATTTGCAAAAGAAAAGGGACAGAACGGTGACCAAACAGGCATAAGTCATTTTTCTCATATATTTTATTTTACTTTTTGGTAATGGGAATTGAACTCACGACCTTGTACTTGCCAGGCAGGCGCTGTGCTGCTGAGCTATATCCCTGGCCCTTTCTCATATATTTTAAAGGTTTCGTGTAGTTGTCCTGTGCTTCTTTCTTACTTTGTTTTTCACCTCCACTTTTACATTTTCTACCCATTTTTAAGCCATTTCTATTTTTCATTGTGTTAGTGTCTCCTGTTCCTAAACTTATGTTTACATTTATCAAAGTAACAAATTTATCAAATAAGAAAAAAGTTGAATAATTTTTCCCTATGGCTCATCTTCTCAACTGTATTTTAAGCTATTTCTAAGACAGCTTTTACATTTTGGGGCTCAAGTTTTGCCTAGCATGATGCACAGAATAGGGAGGCAAATGAACAATTAAAATCTTGGAATTTAGAGAAATGCTTTTAACATTTAAATTTAATATTTAAATATCTTGATTTAGTATGTTTCCCATCTTAATATTTATGAGGTTATAAAGAGGAGTATAAATGGAAGATCCCAGTATGGCTCTCACCCTCTTTCCACCCTCTGAATCGATCCTATAACTAAGGAGGCCTCATGCATGAGCTTAGTAATGTAATCAACCCTTTGACTTTGCCTGACATTGAGGGATTTTGCAGGACCCAGTCTTTCAAATGCTGAACTGGTACAGTCCCAGGCAAACCAGGATTGTTTTCCCCTGAATTAAACAAAAAGCTTATGCTGACAGAATCGGGTAGTATCACAGTGTCTTCTGGTCAGAGAATTCTAGGGTCTTGGATCTACACAGGCAAGAATGAGTGCATGATGGCACATGAACTCCAATAGGAGATCTTCCTCTGATCCTGCAGACTCCTTTCCCCTGGATGGATTGTGGGCATGTAGTAGTAAATAAATGTAGAAATGTACTTTATAATATAAAAATATATTAAAGCATTTTCAATTTCCCATTTCTGCCTTCCAATATCACACAGACCACCTTTCTCACCTCTGTGCATCTCACTTTGGTCTGGTCTGGTCTGGTCTGGTAGCCATACCATATTCAGAGGAATAAAAGCTGTGTATAGTTCTTTAGTAGCCTGTATTAAAAGACCAGAATCCCAAACTCATTAAAGTGGGATTGAGGTGATCTAGGTTCTTCTCAACCATACACCATGCACTCTGGGCTCACATTATGCCATTCACCTCAATCACAGTCACACTGGCTTTGCTTTAGTTCTGTATTCCATGTTCTTGCCTGCTCTATTTTGTAAAATTACATTATTTAAATCCTCTCCTAGCGTGTAAGCACAGTAGGACTACATAGTACTTGCTGCTTTTTTTTTCATATTCAGGGACAAAGTATACAGGAATTGTATATGAAAATTTAGAAAGAAAAAATGAAGGAAAGGGAAGAAAATGTCTAACTAACGTAGGAAAGTTCTCCACACTGAGCGCTTTTATTTTCTTAACCTAATTTGGATATTGCGTAAAATTCTACTCCTTTAACTGCAAGAAGTATTTTGTAACAACTGTTTCTCTTCTCTGTTAGGAAAACCATTCACACAATGTATTCATTTTGGAAGAATTTTGTAACCACAATATGAGCGACTTGTGAAGAAACAGAGAAACTGAAAAATGCAAGTAGTGTTTGTAAATTATTCATACATTCTCTTTTCTCTTCTCTTTCCCTACCTCCTGATCTAGTTCCTATTATTACAAAATCTAATATTAGAAGGAAAACGAAGAGGATTAAACTAAGGTGTAAAAGATTACCAAAAAATAAAGACTTGTATACAATTTGTAGCAGCTTTAACGTTTGAAAATGCAAAGTTTTAAATTAAAAAAAAAATTAGCTAGTATGTCAATCAATTTTGTGGATAACATTTGATAATAACATCATTCAGGTCAAATACATAAGTTTATGTTTATGAAACAATTATCAACCAATATGTACAACAGATACCTTCTCCTTATTCCCCCCTCCGCTATTTTTATTGAGAATGTCACCACAGTGCCAAACAATTGCTTTAGGCAAGGAAGGTGGTCACCTTCTGTCCAAGAAACTGACCCACCCACATACACTGACAATGAATTACTGGGGCTGGAAAAGTGAATTATTTAGCTACACTGGAGAGAGAGTATATAGAATTCGAGGGGATGTTTTTACAGTGTAGAACATTTTTTCCATACGTCAAACCCAAAGGTGAGCGTCCTAAGCTCAAGATGGGCAGCAAGAAATAGCTTCTGTGACCTTGTAGAGAGCTCATATGACGGGCAGCAAGAAATGTCTCCTATGACTTTACAGAGGGGTCATATTCCTCAGCCAGTGACTGTAGCAGCCTTCACCGGTCTCCATTTTTGCCACACCTGGTTGCGCAGGCGCAGAGCGTCCCTCTGGGTACGATGCGGAAGGCGCGTCTTCCGGGGATCTCCAGATCTATCATTTCTGCAAAGAGTGATGGGTAACGGATATAAAGTGCGGTTTGCGCAGGCGCGCCCCTCAGACGTTTGGCTGAGGTTCCGGTCGCTACTATGGGTCGCCGTCCTGCTCGCTGTTACCGTTACTGTAAGAACAAGCCGTACCCGAAGTCCCGCTTCTGCCGAGGGGTCCCGAATGCGAAGATTCACATCTTTGACCTGGGTCGGAAGAAGGCAAAAGTGGACGAATTCCCACTGTGCGCCCACATGGTGTCGGGTGAATATGAGCAGCTCTCCTCCGAAGCCCTGGAGGCCGCCCGTATCTGTGCCAACAAGTACATGGTGAAAACGTGCGGCAAAGATGGCTTCCACATCCGGGTACGGCTCCATCCCTTCCACGTCATCCGCATCAACAAGATGTTGTCGTGTGCGGGAGCTGACAGGCTGCAGACGGGCATGCGCGGCGCCTTTGGGAAACCCCAGGGTACTGTAGCCAGGGTCCATATTGGCCAGGTCATCATGTCCATCCGCACCAAGGTGCTGAACAAGAAGCACGTGATCGAAGCCTTGCGCAGGGCCAAATTCAAGTTCCCTGGACGCCAGAAAATCCATATCTCCAAGAAGTGGGGCTTTACCAAGTATAATGCTGATCAATTCGAAGAACAGATGGCTATGAAGCGCCTCCTCCCTGATGGTTGCGGAGTCAAGTACGTCCCCAGTCGTGGCTGTTTGGACAAGTGGCGGGCACTGTGCTCCTGAAGGCTTCTCTGGACCACGGTTCTCTGGACCACGGTTCCCTGGACCCTCAGTGGGACTTAAGTTTGACAATAAATTCTCCTCGCTGGCAAAAAACACCAAAAAAACAAAAAAAAAAATTGTAAAAAAAAATTGGTAAAAAATAGTTACCCAATTTTAGATTGTAGAATGCTGGAGAAATAATATTTATGTTAATACAACATGTTTTAATGGAGAATACTTGCTTAAAGAGAAATTTGTGTGCCATTTATAGAAAGCTATTCTAATCCAAACACTGTAACTGTATGAGAATATTTAAAGATGTGCTGTTTTGTTTGTAGTAAAGTTATAAATTATAGAAATATTTGTAGTACAGTCAAATTATAATAGTTCTCATTTTGGATTAAAAATAGCCAGAGAAAACTCAAGAGTTGTGTGAAAAATTCTTATTGCATATAGAAAGCTAAAAGGTAAGGATGAAAATAGTGGTAGGCATTAGTGATAATTCGGCTACAACTTCTAAAACTGGTCTTATTTCTGAATTTGATTGCTTATGTTTTCCTATAAATTTCTGTACATTAGTTTTAGAATTAACTATCACTTTTGATTATCAGCCTCAAGACAGTTGAGTATACCAAAAAAAGCTTTTCCACACAAGCCTTACATTATCTTACACTCAAGAGACAGTAGTCCAATCTTTTCTTCATCACCAAAAGGTCATAGGTGACAACAACGTTCATGTTGCTTGTATTTAGGCCTCCGTAGAATCAACAGAAGAAAGAAAATGACACTTAATCAGCTATCTGTGCCCTAAGAGAACCCTAGAGAGACTTTACTATCTGTAGTTTGTCCTACATTACAGTTGCATTGATCATAAAGGTGATTTTTGTTTATTTTAGAAACTACACGAATTCCCTGGGTCTGTACTTTTCTTTTTTTTTTCCCTGTTACTGTTTTTCTTGTTTTTTAAGTTGATTTAGTCTTCTGGATCTCAAATCTTGCAAGCAGTACCTTTGGTTTTCTTATGGGAGCCATTTATCTTTAGAATCAACACATTTAATGAAAGCAAGGAAGGAGTAGAAAACATGGAAACTTGCTGTTTAAGTAGTTTCCATTTACTTAAAGTCCTTTGTCAGTCCTAACAGATTACTTCTGGCTTGATAATTCTTTAAGATCCTCCTGTGAGATATTTTCTGTTTGTGTATTTTTAAACTAGGTTGCTATTGTAAGCAACAACGTTTGACATGTGACAAATAAACTTGAGAAAGATAACTCTAAATAAATACTGAATAACTTGAATATATTGCCAGGGCTCTTCAACCTGAGAAGCACTTTCCATGGTGTGTTTTTGAACATTCCTCAAATTGCCTAGGAAATGAAGTCATATCCAATTAGCAAATGAAGGTGATAAGATCTGTCAAGTCTTGTTTTTATCTTACTATACTGTCTCCCAAAGGAAAAAAAAGCTTTCAAAAACCCACAGTGCAAAAATAAGCACAAAACAAGCAGTTAGTGCATCTAGCTTTGAAAATATTTTCGTTTTTTTAAATTTTATTTCCTTTTCTATTTTTTATTTTTTTTAAATTTATTTTAAAAATAAAAGAAGGAAAACATAGTAACAAACATATCCATTTACAAAATAGCATAAAAACAGTATAAACAATACAGAGTTACAAAGTTGTAGGAAATTAACAATGGTTGTTGTATTACGTATTGATCTTCAAATTGGTTCCTCAGGAAAACAGAGACATGCAGGATTGATCAAACAAGTAATCATTAACTGTTCCTTTCAGTAAAGCAATAGAAGACAGTAGTATAACTATGTTAGCTATCCCGTATATGCATACTTACATAATTTCCCCTTCTTTCCCTTCTCTTTTCCCATACCTCAGTTGCCCTTTACTTTTGAGCATTTTCCTTTTGTTTCATAATGTCTATCATATCCTAGTTTTTATTCACTCTTTCAAGTTCTTACACTAGTGAGACAATACCTTGCTTACACATGCAGGTCTGATTTATTTCACTTATGAATAGTCTCTAGTTGTGACCATTTACCTATAAAAGCCTCGTAGCACTCCACCTGTGAGCTATAGCCCAAACTCTCTTCTCATATATATATATATTTATATATACATATATATGAATCAATTTCTCAGAACAAGATAATTCATAGTTTAATCCAGTATACACAGTGAGTGCATAGTTGTTTGAGTGATTTTGAGAACACACAAAAAAAGAGTGAATAATTAAGCTAGAAAATATTTTCAATCTGTTGCATATATATGAAAAGAGAGTTAGAGATATAGCTCATGGACTGAATCCATGTTGGGTCTCCAGCATCACAAAACAAAAGAATGATTAAAAAAAAAAACAGAGGAATAAAACCTCCAGTTTGCATTATAAAGAATTATTTATAAATCTTACTTTCTTTAATGTTGGTAGAAATATATTTTCACTTTAAAAAAAATCTTACAATGGTTTCCAATGCCGTGATTTTATTATCCACATTCTCTGATTTTAGTTAATCACCTTATTTAAAAAGTGATAAGACAACATGAAAGAAAATTTAATCATATTTTTGGATAGCTCATCATTATCTTAAAATTTCCATTCAAAACAAAAAATTTAATATGGATGGAAATAAAATGGAAAATGTAATTCATAAATTCTATTCATACACTATTCATGCAAAAAAGAGAACGGTTTGTCTATTTGAAATAAACAGATGAATACTGTTAACTAAATTTAAGGAAATATTGCCCAGTACAAAATTTGAATTAGACTGAGTCTCCAGGTTTTATGAGGAATTCTTAACTAAAGATGAAAAAGGATTATGCACTGTACTGTTAGTTTCAAAATTCATTTCATAAATGATTTTTATATAATACACCATTTCTACTTCATCAAAACATGGTATTAAGCATATTTAGGTTGGCATATTTATTCTGTAGAAATATATAAAATAAATGATAGATACAGATAGATGATAGATAGATAGTAGATAGGCATATGTATTTTTCATAAATATATATCTCATCCCTTGCATGAATTGGTTGCAACTACCACTGCAAGAATTTTTTTGTGTGTCTTTTGAGATAGGGTCTCTCTATGCAGTTCAGGTTGGACTTGAACTCACTTTGTAGCCCAGGCTGTCCTTGTACTCACAACAATCCTCCTGCCTTAGCCTCCCAAGTGCTAGGATTACAGGCTTGGGCCACCATGCCCTACTTCATTGCAAGAAATTTTGTTTCCTTATGTTGCCAACTCTGTATAATTCAAATTGAGCATTCTGGTTCTGCCACTACTGCTAGAAACATTGAGCTAAGACATTTAATCTCAAACTTCATCTGCCACTACCTTTGTACAGTTTTTGTGTGCTTGTAGGATAGAATAATGAATTCATTAAAATATTCCGTCTTTAAAAAGCAAGTAATGTATAAAATAATGAGTAAAGTAAAAAATGAAAATTAAACCTTCAATTATGATTCTAAATGAGGTTATTGTCATAATAGTGGATAGGGAGGGAAGTTTTGGTGTCAGGATGATTGGATTTGCACATCAGCTCCTTCATTTACTTGGACAGATTTCTTAATGTCATTACCCCTTAGTTTTGTCCTTTATAATAGGACTGACACTTTAATTATGGGGATTTTTAAGGATTAAATGAGATTATACATTAAGAAAGGGGTATCATTGTGCTTTGCATGTATTAAGTACATAAAGTTCAGGGCAACTTGTTAATATTGATGTAATTACATTTGTTCCTACCTCACTGCTGCTGAATTCCAAATTTTTAACCCTTCTATCTCTGTTTTTTAATTATTTATGGCCTTAATATTCTGTGTTGAAACTATAATTACTCCTACTTAAGTATATCTGATGTCTAGATTTAGTTGAGTTCATTATTGTATTTAATTTTTTTTAATCCTTAGTTTGTTGAGTTCATTATTGTATTTAATTTTTTTTAATCCTTAGTTTTGTATTTTCTATTTTTGTGTCATTTTATTTGTTGTGATCTATTTTGGAATTTCTTTTGAAGAAAATTTAATTAGTATTATTTGCATGTGTTTCAACTATGAGGTTTGCCTTATTCCTCACAATTGTACTTTTAAAAATCTTTTTTACTCACATTTTTTATTCAGTATTTTCATTTTACAAAAGTATAGGTATCTAACTGTTTTGCCATTATTACCATACCTCTTGCATGTGGTATAAATTGTTGTTTACAGGCCTTATGTTTAGTCTGAAAGTTGGGCATGAATTTCTCTTTTTAACCTTTCACAAAATTTTTATCTTTGTTAATGTTATCTAGCCTTCTGTCTGAGTACAGAAGTGTAAGTCTAGATATTGCTATCTGTCTGCTTGCCAATGGCCTAAGGATGAAAAGATAGATAACAGACTCTGCAGGGATAGTGTATTAGTCAACTTTATTGTTTCTGGACATAATTTGGATAACAGACAACTTAAAAGAAGAGAGGTTTCATTTGGTTCAAGTTTTAAATGGATTCAGTCCATGTTTACCTAGCTCCAACACAGGCGCATTATGGGGGAAGGGCCTGGCAAACCAAAGTTGTTTAGTTCTTGGAAGCTGAGAAGTTGACCAAGGCAACAGTGCCAGGTAAGAAGGGGTGGAGGACAAGACTACACCTCCATGACCCACCCAGACAATCCTACAAATCTCTTGGTTAAATTGCAAATCCATGTTGACACTTCACTCTGTCACATCCCACCTCTTATCTACTTTGTATCCAAACATATTAAACTCCACATAATCTCCAAATAAGATAGTACCAAGTGCATAATTTCTGCCTAACACAACTATCCTGCGTACAACTGAAAATCCAACAATCCCTTTCTCAGTGTCTCAAAGTTCCCAACCTTTTTTCAAAAACCCAATTCCAAGTCTCTTCTGAGACTCAAGGCAAATTCTTAGCTATAAATCTCTCTGAAAATTTTTAAAATTATATAGTGCCAAAGTGTAATGGCAAAGGGTAAACATTCCCATTCCAAAAAAAGGAGAAACTATGGGATAGAAAAGAATAGGACAAAAGTAAGAATTGAACAGCACAAATATTCAGTCCTGTGTCACCATATCTGTCATCTGGGCCTCATGGTGGAGCGATATGAGTTTCAAGGGGTTGAGGGGTTCCACTCTTTTGGTCTTGTTAGTTGCAGCAGCCCACATGTCCTTTCTTGAGCTGGTGCCAACCACAGCTGTACATGTTCCACATCTTCTGC